GCATCTTATGCTTACTTCCTTGCGAACGGATGACAGCTGCGTATGACTTAATTAAATTTCTGGTGCTTTCACTTCCGAAGACAGTTGTAAGCACTGTGTAACTGCCTCGAGGGTGCTTGACCATTTTAACACAACGTGGTGCGATCATCCCCCTTGCGCGGAGTGAGGTTCTCCACCCCGCACAACATGATCTACTCGACCACCATTGTCGTTACCGCTAAAATACAAACAGAGGTAAAAAAAAACAAACGGTAACCTGGTTGCCGAGTTCACGGAATGAACTGGCTTGTTTTACAACGTCGCTGCCAAGCGACGAAAACCCAACCCCGATGGCAAACACCGAGGGGGGGCTTGTTTTACAACGCCGTTGCCAAGCGGCGAAAACCCAACCCCGATGGCAAACACCGGGGGGGGAGGGAGGGGACGAAGGGGATTGTCAAAGCACCGAGAATTGCTGTATTGCTGTCTCTTGGCACTAGATGGAGCCCGGCCTGGTCTCTGCTGAGCAACTTTTAACACCCGTACATCAGAGAAGTTCGTCTCTCTCGGCTCCTGAAAAGTGTTTCAGCACACCTCGTACGGTAGTTGAAACTCTCGGTTGGCGTACGCTACATTGGCCATCAACGACCTAGACACACGTCTGGGCGAGGTTCTCCACTGAACGGTGGCCTTGCAGGTTTACAACACACCAGCGCTCGGGGCCCAAACCCGGGCGTGAGAGGTAACCTACAGCAGTTCTAATTTTTGGAAGAGTTTTGGCACTAACAAAAACAGCTAGGCAAGCTAGGACTATAGGCGAAACAGTGAGGGGTGAGGAAGGGCGGGAGGATGGAGCGAAGTCAAGGAAACACAGATACCTCGCCGAGATCATGAATCCACAGCCACTTGGAGTCCTCGAAATCCCAGCACGCCAGAGAACCGGCGACCACCTTCTCCGCTGCGCCGGCGGGCGTGCCGGTTCCCCAATACCTATTGTATCAAGAATGTGTTTGGAAAGGAGGTNGGGGGGGGGGGGGGAGAGGGGTGGCGGAAAGGATATGGGCGAGGAGGGTTTCGATGAAAATCAAACCTCCAGTTAGTATTCAGGACGAGGGATAGCAACCAGCAGGGTTTCGGATACGAAAGGGCGTGCATCTTGGAGCTTTTAAGGAGGTGGAGGAACGGAGAAGGGGGACGATGGATGAGAAAAACTGGACTTGAGGGCTCAAAAGACTATGTAGATGCCATTGTCAGCAACAGTAGGCGTCTGCGACTAGTACCTTCGGTGGCACGGCTGCACCAGCATCTCCGTCGATGTTGAAGCAACATTGACATGAAGACGCGTGGGCAAGACCTTCTCGCGTTCGTTCGAAAACAAGAGGGAAAATTGTTGCCATGCCAGCACACCTGACTACCCGCTACAGAAACATCGTTGGGGCGATCAAAAAAAGGAAGGATTTGACTCCAGCGATGGTATGTAGGCAACAACCGAGAATTCTGTCGAGGCTACCTGAAGAACATAGCCGAAAACAAGGACAGAAAGGGCCAGAGATAGAGAGGGAGGGACGGAGGGACGAAGGGAGGGAGGGGGGGAGGGGGGGAGAAGGTGGGGGAGAGAGAGCGATCGCGCGACCCAGCAGAATGCAATCTCACCGTCGTTTGCTCTTGAAGTAGCTGCCAGTCACGATCATCCGCTTCCCCTGGCCCTCCTCAGCATCCAATAACACGGGAGCAGCGGAGATATGCGGCTGGATCTCGACAACTTTCCCGGCCTGCTGCTTCCCGAAGCCTTCACCTTCTTCCAGGCCGATTAGATCGAAGTCATCTCCGTAGTTCTACGCAGCAGCAAATCGCGATTTTGATTGGTCAAGATTGGTCAAACGCCCCCGGGAAATCGTTTGATTTGATCGACCGCAGCAGCAGCAGCAGCAGCAGCAGCAGCAGCAGCAGCAGCAGCAGCAGCAGCAGCAGCAGCAGCAGCAGCAGCAGCAGTAGCAATTTCACGACAAGAGGTTCAAACAGGAGATCAACGCTCGGTACTGATCCGATTGATGGATCCGCTCTTCCGGCAATATGTGGAATCATTGGGTGGTGCACCATTGGACCGATATTCTACTGGTGAACGTTGTTCTTGAGAATGGCGTACAGTTGCTGGTAACGAACGTCGGGTCTCTCAAAGAGTTTTGGAATTGTTATGTCAACTGAATCTTTTTTCGACAAGTGAGTTAGTTCGATTGGCCATCGAGGTGCCGCTTTTCGGACGTTTTGCGGCGAAAAAGTCTTGTCGAGACCACTCGGCTTGGCCGTCGCTACTCACGACACGGCAACGGAAACAAACAATGACAGCAACCCAATTCTTCAGCCACCTACGTGAATACCTTACTATTATAACGCGTCGAGCCAAGGTGCCAGGACCCGAAAGACGACGTCTTCACGCCGATCGGGAAAATCAACCCCGCGGCTCGGCTGATGATAAGCTTAACGTTTGAACTGCTCACCAACCTCCAAAAGACGAAATCGATGTTGTTTCCCGATACTAGGTACGAGGAAAACCCTCTATACCCCCGGGTTCAATATTTAGATCGCCTCTCTCTCTCTGCAACTCACCGCCCACCAACCGATGCCGTCATCGTTGGGTAAGGGTCCCGTGCCGTACTCCCCCCACCGCCGCATAGCCTCAGCGTACGCCGCCGCGGTGTCGTAGGCACTCTCGCCGTCCAGAGCCGAGTCCAAGCCCCCCTGAAAAATGCCTCCCTCGAAGCTATCCCCCGTCCACTGGTGCTCGACCTGGCCGTTGCCTAGCGCGGCGGAATCACCGCCTTGGTTGAGGCTCGCGGGTTGCTGTTCCTGAGCCTGTCCAGATATCGATTCGCGGAACGGTCTTCATCGCGGTCGGATAGACCTGGGTATCTAGCAGGCGCGATATTTTTTGCCACACTGACGACGAAACCGGTGTTTCACCTGATCCCGTCGTCGTTGGGGTGTTGGCCTGCCCCCGCCTGATCACGGGCTACGTAGAAGGCGGGACAACCTATTGCGGGAGTTCTTCTTGATCGCGCTCCACTGAAGAAGAACACCAGATCTTTCGAAGGCACTTCGAACATGAACCGAACCGCTCGCGCGGTGGATTCCGTTTACCGACCACTGGCAGTACGCAACTTTTGTCATGTTTGTACAATAGGAGTACAATGCTCAGAAAATATTCAAGGATATGTGAATCAAGCTTCGAGCCGGCAGGACAAATTCGTCCAAGATATTCTTCTCAAACGTCTCTACACTACCCTACCTGGTCCAACCAAATCCCAACGCGTACTCAGTAGGAATACCAACAGCTCCAGTCATCAGTACCGACAGTCGCGCCTACCGCGCTGTTACTGGTGTCCCGCGACTTCACAGCCGCCAGGTTTCGGGTTGATTGGCGTGATGGCAGGAAACCTTCTTCAGAACGGTCCCCACACTTTGTTCGGGGCCCAATGAACACACACAAACACGCCTCGAGGTCTGCCGGGGAACGAAACAAGGTTTCGGATTTTCCCCTACCTCGTTGTCGTCAAGAAGACGCCGCCGCCTGCCGGGCGACCGCAGACCCGCATCGGCATCCCCGCTGTCCTCGGTCTCTTCCACATTCTTCAAGCTGTAGAATCCACCGACCAAAGGGGTCGTATTGTGGCGTCGGTTGTATGAGGGGTACGAATAGGGTCTATCAGCAGATCCGCTGAGGCGTACGCTCACACGGATGTACCGCTCTGTTTTTAAAGAAAATAACAACTCGGATTACAATCTCAATGATAAGTCTATACAAGTTAGGCGTGTTTCGAATTCCCCGGGGCTCTGCCTCCGCTGTAGTATTGCTTGAGTGCTCCTGTACGCGTGTCACGGAGGCATTATCTTCCGATGTACTTGAGTGCTGCAGCACTTGTGGACTGGAGACTTTGCGTACTGCTGTGAATCTTGCGTCCCGAAACAAGATAAGGCGTGACTCGTCACTGTCACCTTGGTTTCGGGATCCGTGGCTATGCATACACACATTCCCTGATCTGAGCGATCCTTGGACTTCATCCCACCAGGAGCTGGGGCGACAGCGGCGACTCGTCTACAGTTAAACATGTCACTTATTTAGGGCTTGACGTAGGCCGCTGCTGTCCTCGCTGCAAGGAAAAAACAAGGGTGTGATACGTCAGATTTTCATCCTAAACCCCGTCCAAAAAACATGCGCTCGATCTTGCAACCGACAGTTGGTGGTGCCATTTCTTCAAAGTGACCATCGATAATCAGGCTATCGTGTTGTGCGTAAGCGAAGATGCACACTTCCCAAAACGGAAGCCTCGACAGTTCACATCGAGCAATCTACCACTACTCCGCACATTCTGGGCGGCAGGTACTGGCGGTAATCCGGAAGATAGGGACCTCCGTCTCCGAGGGTGAGCCAGCGAATCCACCCCATCGTGTCCGCGACGCAAACGTCCTTCGGAAAAAGACAGGAATGAAACAGATATCAAACATGACATGGTTGCGGAGAAGCCAAGGGCAAGAGAGAGAGAGAGAGAGAGAGAGAGAGAGAGAGAGAGAGAGAGAGAGAGAGAACCCAGTAAATGACGGCACTTCATAAGAGCGCGCACGTGGGCGGGAGAGATCTCGCAAACAGCCGGGGCACGACGTACGAACACGACACATAGCGTGTTGCACTCTAAATCTTGCTAGAGATGGCTCTGGAATCGGGCGAGGGGGTGGTGCACCTGCACACCATCGCCGTCCACGTCGTGTAGGGCAGGAGACGCCAAGAACGCTGAGTTTTCGTGGTCGTCCATCTCTATCGGCCAAGGGTAAGGCACCGAGCCGTCGCCATCGATCAGCTCCACGTTGCGCAGCGTGGCGAGGACAATCTGCGAGAGCGCAGGTACAAGCGCGGAGGCGGTGTAGGCCTAAACCACAGGGATAAACACGCGACGATGTGAGCAGCAAGCCGTGGTTCAAGGGCTTGCAACCGGGTGAGACGTGGGGATGCTGGCGGCTGTGTGGGGCGTTCAATTCGGGTGGGTATTTCTCGTCATTTTTTTTTTTGTCTTCACTTCAAATCAGCGCTCACAGCACTGGTGCCGTTTACTCCAACCCGTGGTCACACAGAAGAGCCCCTCTCTACCCTCCTCTCTTGCGGTACTTTGCCTACGATTTTTAATGCGACAAGAGTTCAGCACTCTCTTCCCTCTGTGTACACGCGACGAACTACAGTAGCGCTATCCACTGGGCCAGGAGCGGAAGCGAGAGAAAAACTCACTTTGCAAGACAAGCCCGCTTACGAAGGGATTCGAACCCGTGACCTGACCTCTAGAAGGTTTCGAGGATACCAACTAGACCACCGGGGCGCATGGAAACGGACAGACACTGTGCGTGACGGGCTTCGTCAGCGTGGGGTGCCTCGGCAGCTTGGAAGCAAGAGAGGAAATAACGGCAAGTGCGTCCGCAATGGTTACGTCAGGCTTGTTTTTGAGATCTCGACAAGCCGTATGCGTCGGTTTCTGTGGTACGTTTATACAGGCAGGGGGAGTGCGCATGTGGCGTGGACTGGCCTATTTTGTATCGGTGGAATGGCATTCTGCAGTGCATAGTACTGCTGTAGTACGAGAACAATTATAGAAGGTTGAACACAACGAAGGAAATCTCTCGTTGATACTAATTACAGTGCCATGCATACTGCTGTAGTTCATATACGCGTGTCCAAAAAGATTGGCGCCACTGCGATGCTGCGTTGAAGGGGGCGGCGGAACTACTACTGTAGGTGTGCGTTGTCACCGCGTTGCAAGCAGCCTGTGCTGCTGTACATGGAAAGGTACAAAATGCAAACAAAGGACACGAGAGACAGAAGGCTAATTCGTTACCACAAACAAGCGTGCCAACAACATCTCCATTTCAAAGACTACTCCCAGATTCTCGCTTGACATATGCATATGATAGGTGCTTTGGAAGACTAGACTAGACTACTGTATGTAGCGCGGTATTGGTGGTAAATCAGGATCACTGATTGTGACACTCCAACGCCATGAGGCTGGACACTTCAGAGTTACAGTACAGCAGTGGGTTGCGTATTGCGCATCAACGAGGTCTTCTTTCTGCACCTGTTTGTGCCCACCGGCAGAAGACGGAAGGATGACCGGCGTGCTGTACACTGGCGAGTCCACCTCAGCAGTCCACAAGACTGATATATCCAGCGGGCATTCCCTCGACCCCAACCCCGTTTGTTCTTCCTGTGCAGTAGCCAGGGCTGTGAGAGCCAGAGTGGCTGCAAATGTTCGTCGAGGTACAGTGCAACCCATGGCGCCGAGTGACGAGCCAGGCGTTTCTCTCCGCTGGAGCAAGGGATCAGCGTAACTCTGCTCTCCAGTTGCCTGCTGCTGCTGCTGCAGGTGTCGCGACAGAGGACCACCTGCTCCTTCGTGTTCGGTTAGAAAATTGAACACTGAACACACACCAGGCGGACACACAGCCGCAACACCGTATTACATTAGCGTCGAATTAGTCCCTTGCATTTACGCAGAGCACGAGAGGCAAGGCCGTTGGGTGTGTCTGTGTCTCTCTCTCTTCCAACGCCACTGCTGCTGTATTCTCTCTCGCTCTCCATTTTTTTTTTTCTCCCATCATTGGATTCTGTCGTCTCCCCCTCTCCCTGCACCTGTCCGGTTCTCCTTGCTATTCGGCAACCGCGCGGCAGAGATGCGCCGCTTGTGATGTTATTACGCCGCATGCTGTGACACCTTTGTCACTCGTCAATCGTCGCCCACACGCGCCTGACACAGTATCGCCCCGTTTCTGCCCATCTTTCTTCAGCCTCGGACGTGAGAGAGAAGCGAAGAGTGGTGCTGTTGTGGTGAGTTGTGATACAGAACCGTGTCGTCGGGAAGGGACATCGTGAACCCCTGCACGTACGTGAGCGCTAAAAGCAGCATCGGAATGGAGAACAAAACTGAACTGCTGTGTCGCACGCAGAGGAAGGAAGGCGGAGTATGCGCCTACTGTTGTTGTGGACGGGGTAGGCTATTCTAGTGGCACCTGAGCAGAACGGGCTCAAGAAGGAGATACATACCGCAAACCGCGTGTGAAGAGCAAGAGCATTCTTTTGATACGTGATGCAGCGGGGAAATTGTGTAATTTATCCACCGCCCAGCCATAAAGTTTACATGATTCCCCCTCAAGCAATTGCCGAGGGATCGCCGCATTCATTTGATATTTCATCTACAGTAGTGTATCGTAACAGCAGTACAATTTATTGAAGTCTCCTGCAAGCCATGAACACCTAGCCTGATGGCGGACTGCTGCGCCGAAGGTTGGGGCGCCTTCCACAAGTGTTTTTCCCCATAAGACTGTAGCTGTCCATGGGAAAAGTACAGCGAACAAATTTGCACGGCTCGGTTTTCAGCGGAACCTATTTGTGCTATTTACATGGCCTCTTTGTAGCTGAGCCCCGTTCTTTTACCACCTCGTGCTGCTCCTCACACAGACTTGGCTTGCCACCAAAGTAGACGGCTGCCCCAATCAGGCCTTGCCCTCCATCGGAAAAGTTGGTTGTTCTGTTTAATTTGCTTTGAACGGGAGAAATGCTGTTGCTTTCACGTCTAAGTTGGAGCTGTTTTCTGCTGCCCCACATGCGCGATATTTCCAGCTATTGGGAAGCAACTTCCCCTAGGGCGGCAACGAAGGATGGGGTCTGCCGATCCGGCCGATACCCCTCCACGGTAGAAACTAAGGGCCACGGAACAAATGCATCATCTGCATGATATTGTTCACTAGCTGGCCTGTAAAGTCGGCGAAAATCGAGCCAGGTCAAGTCTCAGCTGTTACCAGCGACGCAGAGGGGGACTCGAAAACGACTATGAACCTACCTCCCAATGCATGATGGAATTCCTAATCATGGAGGCCTGCGACGGACCTCTACGCCGTAGACCTGAAAAGTGAGGTCAACCACCTTGGCAGGAACCGAGGTGTTCGCTTCTTTATGCGTGCGCAACGCATGATAAGAGGATACGCACAATTTTGTATCAACACTCCAGCAGTGAGAGGTGTAGCAGAATACCTACAAATCCCTTGGGGAACGACTATCTTGGAACAATATTCCCCAATAAAATATCCACGGAGCCCCACGAAAGAGTTGCCGCGCACAGCAGCACCACAGCAGAAAAACGCGAGGAAGATCTTCTTCCTGTTCCGGTGGTGGACGTCCGAGCTTTCATCCACCTTCATCGTGTATATGCTCAATACCCAGCTACGCCACCGCCCCCGTGGTCTCCCGGCCCGTCGATTCCGCTTATTCGGATAAGAATAACCAGTAGGCAGTTTTCCACAGCAGCACACAGTGCAGTGATAAACATATATGCAAAGCTTGAGGTTGTTTTTTTGTCCGGTGTTTTTGTCTTCTTTGACGCGTGCCTTGTTTTCGACTGAGACTACGAGTTTGGAGCTGTAGGCTGTACAGTAGTTCCTTTGTTGAACTTGCAAGCCCTTTGCGAATGCACCCTGTTTTGTCCTCCTGGACTGGTGATTGCACCTACTGGATGATCGTTTTTTTCCCCGTGCAATAGTGCCACACCTTCTCTTGGTCTAGTTTACTCTATTTGGTGGGTAAATCTTGACCATACAAGGTCATCTTGTCTGCTGTCAGAGTAACGAGGAGGGCGTAGGAAAGATATCAGCCATTTTTTTGGTGAACCCAACGTCAACAACACAGCACACAAGCACGAACGTCCACCAACAAACTTCAAACGGGTTCGTGACATAGAAACACAATAAAGTGCAAATAATGATACTCGCCCTCCTCTGCTGGGCCCAACAATGTAGAGGTGCCTCTTGTGGCTTCGCAAATCCTCACCCGAAGCCTGTTCGAAAGCGAACCCGTGGTGATTCCAAGACTGCCACCAGAAGCCACCAGCGATCTATTTAACTTTGTCGTCAGGATCAAACCTCTGGTTGTACGCGCTAGATCTCGAATCCCTTGGATCGCTTGATTCAACGCGTGTTGTAGGGTTGCTATCGAGAGGGTGCTTTTTGAAGTACGCTGGGCGAGAACGACTTTGGTGCCGTTCAGCCCAAATTCCACCACGGAGTTCTTGGCGATCCGAGGGCACCTCAACGGTAGGATGCCCTAACATACCGTGATAACGGTGCCAAAACAGGGCATTGGGACGACGGAAGCTAGCTTTTCCCCAGTGAGACTACACGGGTGGCGGACGCAAACTTTCATCACGTGAACCACAATGTGGACCACTAACTGCAACTGACGAAACCATCCATTCGCTCTTGCTCATGTGTCACTCCATCTCCAGTCCTCTAACCTCCGACAGTCCTCCATCCCGACTGCATGAGCGACTTCGGCAAGCTGTCCGGCCCTGTTACGATGGAAGAGCCCGCGATACGCCAAGGGGTTTACATCACGGCGGTCTACGTCTTAGTTTTCTACGCTTGCATCATCGGGCAAGCGAGCGCCATGTGGAAGGTTGCAGCTTCTTACAGAGCGCGCGGCGAAAGGGTGCGTGCTCGTAGACCGTGACAAGTTACAAGTGTCCCTAATTGGTTGTGCGTAGAACGGGGTGTACGCGTGCGACTCGTCAGTGATTGTGTCGGTTGGTGTCGGGCGTAAGGATAATCTTTAGCACGCAGCGTCCAGTTGTAGGTGTTACAGGGTAGCGGTGTGAAAGGGTGGCGGCACCCGTCTTGTGCGACTGCGTCTCGAGGTTGGTGGGATGATACATGCACCAAGAAGAAGAAAAGAGTTTGACTGAGTCGACCGTCGGGTTGGTGTCATGCATCACCCCCAAGCGATTTTCACGCAACCTGGCTCTGGAACATCGGCGGCCGCCACATTTGATTTGGATCGTCACAACCCCCTTCCCTGTCGGCGGCTTGCCTCCCCCACCCTCGTGCACCCCTATTTTGTTTCCGAATCGGCGCCAAAATACAGTTCGAACGGTACTACAATGTCAAGGACAAGGCTATGCTCGCCTGGGACAGGATAGTGGGCAACCTTCTCGAGCAAGCGATGCCGTTCTTGACTCTCTTCTGGCTAAACATCGGCCTTGCGGCCCTCGGGGCGACTAGCCACACCGGTGTCGCCATCGCCGGTTGGATCTACGTGGTGTTCCGGGCCCTCTATCCCGTAAGTACTTCGATCTACTCGTTCGCTCCGACCAACAGCAGGTTTGAGTTTTTTTTCTAAATTGGGGCACCCACCACAGATCCTCATGATTGTTAGTCATTGTTTCCCTCCTGAGTAGTACCCGTTCCTGGCTTGGCTTGGTTTCGAGGTTTTACACTTCACACGTGCACTTTTCAGACAAGGAATGCTGTCCCCGCTCCAACCGTCTACACTTGCCATCTTAGCAACGTCCCCTTTGCAAGAACTATTTCCAGGAACATCTGCCATCAATCGACGGCTGGCCTTGCTTCATGCCAACATGCCAGCCGCGTCCTGTTGCTATTTCTATATCCACTAGGTGTAGTATTCGTTTCTTGCATGTCAACCCTATCCGACTCGCGACTTACCCTACTCAGGTTATGTGGCTCAGCGGAGGAGGCGGGCGGGCGGGGCCCCGTAGCAAGATTCTGTTCGTGACCCCTGTCATGTGAGTGACCCTCAACTCACGCCTCTAGTGCTTCGGATGACTGGTAGTACACAACGGCTTCCTGCAACAGTGCCTACCGACGAACACCATCATGCAGCAGTAGCAGCATGCCCACCTCGGGTGGTTTGATTTCGCCGGCACGATTACTGAGGCATGGGCTGGTTACGGTTTTAGGGGTTTAGGACGCGATGGACTATTTCCAATCGGGAGGTCCACGAGGGCATTATCAAAACTAGAAGGTAAATAAAATGGGAGCTCCACGCGAGCTTTTCTCGTCCAAGATCCTTCTGTAGGAATTTAGTTGCTTGTTTCAGCAGTCGGAAAAATGGCCAGAAGAAAGACTTGAGATTTGAGCGCTGTGGAGCGCTGCTTTCTCCATGCAAACACACACGCTCTAAATGGCAACGAACAACCAGCCAACAGTGTCTCCAACGTTCGAACAGTATGAGGTAGTGGCCGTAGCATCACAATATGTCTCAAATCCGGTGGGAATAGGCACGTTTTTCGCGCATAGGAGCGTGCACACAGCGCTGGATCGGGAGGAGGAGAGAGGAAGAAACAACAGGTCACTCAACAACGCCATGATAAAAAACCAGACGGCTTTCACTGTCAAACAGTCATGTCGTGGTCGGAACAACAAGTTGACATTCAAATGGTTGTGTCGTCCAGCAACCGCACACAACTCTGGCACGGGCAGAGAAGCGCTGCAGCATTCACGCATTTCAGGGTGCAAACGGTAGGGCAGTGACGCAATGATTCCTCAAAATTCGGTGAGAAGAGGCACAGTTTCGTGGTGCACGGGACTGGTGATGAAACAGGGCGAGCGTGGAGGGCAGAATATTCCACCACTAGCTGCTCCAAGGGTGTTGCTTTCGCTCTACACTTCAAGGCCCTACCCAGAGCCGCGACATCGCACACTTCCCTGATTTGGTCATCTGACGTTGTTTGTCGGTATTGCGCCCTGTTGGGTTCCGGCGATAGAGGATTTCCTCCCACCGTGTTTTCTGGACCAAGAAGACAAAAATTGTTCGTTGTCTTGATCTCACATTACAGCAGTGTTTTGTGACCTCTCTCTCTCTCTCTCTCTCTCTCTCTCTCTCTCTCTCGCTCTCGCTCTCTCTCGCCTCTTCCCCTATCCAGCCATGTATTGCACGCTCCAAACTTGAACAATGTGCTCTTATCACCGGAGTTTGAGGCACCATGGTGATACAGTCACTGCCCTACCTTTTGCACCCTGAAAACGCGCGAATGCTGCAGCGCTTCTCTGCCCGTGCCAGAGTTGTGTGCGGTTGCTGGACGACACAACCATTTGAATGTCAACTTGTTGTTCTGACCACGACATAACTGTTTGACAGTGAAAGCCGTCTGTTTTTTCATCATGGCGTTGTTGGGTGAGCTGTTCTCTCTTCCTCTCTCCTCCCGATCCAGCGCTGTTTGCACGCTCCTATGCTCGAAAAACGTGCCTTTTCCAACCGGATTTTGAGACATTTTGTGATGCTACGGCCACTACCTCATACTGTTCGCACGCTGGAGACCCAGTTGTCTAGTTCTTCGTTGCCATTTAGAGCGTGTGTGTTTGCATGGAGAAAGCAGCTCTCCACAGCGCTCAAATCTCAAGTCTTTCTTCTGGCCATTTTTCCGACTGCGCAACAAGCAGCGAAGTTCCTACAGAAGGATCTTGCATTATTGACGAAAAGCTTACGCCGAACTCCCAAAAGGGCGCGAACCTTCTTCTTGGAAGCACTGTAGTCCATTGAGTAAAGATCGGGAGTACCTGCCTCCTAGGTGGCGCAAGCCCTACGGTATGTATGTGCATTCTCCCACTCCGATGGTGTTTCGAGTCCTTGAATCAGTCCATTGGTGGGGGTTGTGCATCACCTGGGCTCCACTAGAGCCGTTCCGCAGACACCTATGCTGGAGCGTGACTTTCCGTTGTGATGTACTTGCCGCTGGCATGCCCTGGTGCTTTTTGAATTGTCC